TTTAATTCTTTTTCGTGTCCTCCAGTAATTAGCTCCTGAATTAATTGCTGTTTAAAGTGAAGTTGTCGACTCTCTTCATTTGCATCGTGCACTTTTTTGGTTTAAGAAAACTAGAGTCGAGGTATCACCGAACGGGGCGTTGTCGTAGGTACATGGTGATACAGATGGTTGCATGTGTTGTAATTAAAATGTGCAGTTTTGTTTAATGAATTTTTGAGATTTTCATTATGCCTAGCCAACAACAACCTCTTCATCCTTACATCTTTTCATGACAAAAAAAGAATCGAGTTCCGATTTGCTAGCAGTTCACACTTTTGAGCTGATGTAAGCGTTTGAAAAGTGAAGCTATCAGAGTCCTGCAACTTGTTTGGAGTATCCAATCTATGCGTATCTCACGGGAAGGATCGATTAATAAAGTTTCTTTGTAAAGTGCTGTCTAATAGTACTGATAAGAGTCACATTGCAAACAGGTCGAGATCTGAAATGACGAATATTACCGTAGTCATATCGTAACTTTTACGCCAAGACAAAGTGAATTACTAACATCACCACTATTTTGATAATTTTTACATTCTGCATTGATTGTAATCGGTCTGCGGTTTGTCTAGAATAAATCAAAAATCCGTTTTTTTAGAAATGCAAATATGCTAAACGAAGGTAGAGTTCCGCTCTAGAAAATGGTGTGCTTGTCTTCCCATTGAATATGAAAACCAATTCAAAAGTTTTTGGAAGGTATGTCAACGGCACAAAACTGAGCTCTCGACATTTTTCTTTTTCCAGAACCTTGCGTTTTTATAATGTCTATCGGTGGTTTTTGCCGTTTGGAGTTTTGAAGTCTTGTTATAGCATTACGGTGGGTAAACTGTAAAGGTGTCAAAACAAGGTCTTAAAAAGTAGACTTTTGAGCTGATGTGCTGTCCATGAGCATCCATTCCGTACCATAAACCATTTTGCAACTTTGGCAGACGCCAAAGTTTCCCTGGCTTAATAGTATTTAAGACTCTTTCGTCA